TTCAGGACTTCTCAACTGCAAAAATCCTTTTACCACCTCCAAGTCTTGAAACTTCAGCCCTTTAAATTTCACACCAAAACAATGAGAACTCCCATACTTTCCAGATTGAATTAGTATTTCAGTTTTAGCCAATCTACCAAGCAGGGCCAGCTGAAAGAACAGCAGCTTTCATTTTAGTAACACCAGTCCTGCCACCTCAGGCAGATTATTTGCCCCTTCCCTGGCCTGTAGTTGTGTATCATGGGCGTTTCTATGAGTTCTCAGACCATCACCAGAGTCATACTAACTGACTTACACCAGTTTACTCAGTTGTCAGAGGAAATGCCACAGGTATGGTTGTTCAGCCTGGAGAAAAGAAGTCTCAGAAAAGACCTTACAGCAGTATTCCAATACCTAAAGGGGGCCTACAAGAAAGCTGGAGAGGAGCGTTTTACAAGGACACGTAGTGACAGAACAAGGGGGAATGGCTTTAAGATGACACAGGGGAAAATTTAGATTAGACATTAGGAAAAAATTCTTCACTGTGAGGGTTGAGACACACTGGAACAGGTTGCCCAGAAAAGTCGTGGATGCCCCATCCCTGGAAGTGTTCAAGGACAGGCTGGATGCAGCCTTGAGCAACTTGGTCTAGTGAGAGGTGTCCCTGCCCATGGAAGGGGAGTTGGAATAAGATGAGCTTTAAGGCCCCTTCCAATCGAAACCACTCTGTGAGTATGTGATTCTATAATTTATGAAATTATTTCAACCAGCCAGTATAGATCTGATAAAAACTCAGGTTTATACTTTGTGGTACTGGCTGAAGTCAGAATTGGTTTTAATCATGTTAATGGTTCTTCCTTTTAATCCCTAGCAAGCCCACTTCTACGCACAGTGGCTGTCATCATACAGACAGCCTCAGAGCTGGACAGTTTGAGACACCATGCTATTCATTATAATCCTAAACCCCAACTTTATACAGGTCTGTTGTATGAAATTCACACATGGAGCAGAAAAAAAGTCTTATTTAAACCACTTTGAGCAAGTGTTACTTTCAAAATAAAAAGAAATAGGAGCAACAACAACAAGAAAAGCAAGAATAAATGTAACAGGCACGTAAGAGCAAAGTAAATGCAAAACCCTTTTGGATATTTAGATGAGGGGGAGATATTCATCTCCCTTATCTTTAGCTTATCTAGAATTTATACATCTAGCACAGACTAATAATTTGTGCTTCCTCCAGTCTCAAGGAGAGAAAAGATGCCTTCTGGAGGCTGTCACATCCTCAAATAGGGCAAATGAGTCTCTCCAGGGATGGCAGACTCTCTGTAACCATGGACAAAGTCGAAGATTACCTGCACTTACACAGGTGAGACAAGTCTCTCTCTCACTCTTCACATAAGCCACTAAAATAAAATCTGAAGGTTTTGCTTGGATCCTGCACGGACAAACTCACCAACTCCAAGAGGGCAAGGGTTTGTTTTTATGTTTCTGGGAGCCAGAGTGGAAGGTTCATTGGCAGTCCAATTTTACACCAGTGTTGCTCTGACCACTTGCTCTAACAGCTCAGTCATGATGGTTCATAGCCAATTTGCCCACTGGTTACGCAGCAACATGCAACAAGGGCAAAGGGTGAAACATGTTCCCCTAACTCCTAGAGAGGAATCTCAGCCTACACTTTCCTCAGTGGGGGAACCAGAGGGGAAGGTGCTGATCTCCTCTCTCTGGTGACCAGTGATAGGACTTGAGGGAATGGAAAGAAGCTGCATCAGGACAAGTTCAGATTGGACATTAGGAAAAGGTTCTTCACCAAGATGGTGGTTGATCACTGGAGCAGGCTCCCCAGGGAAGTGGTCAGCCTATCAAAATTCAAGGAGCATCTGTACAACGCTCTTAGTCATATTGTTTAGTTTTAGGTAGTCCTGCAAGGAGCATGGAGTTGGATGCAATGATCCTTATGGGTCCTTTCTGACTCAAGATGTGCCATGATTCTAAGTTGAAATAAATCAACATTCTCCTAGACACCAAACTAGCTGTGCTGTGTCTTCAGGGACACGTATCTTACTTGACCACTATCATCTAAATTTCTGCTGGGACTACAGAAGTTCAAAAAGGACTAGAGCTACTCTGTCAAGTAAGCACAGGTCTTACACACACATTGAAGTTATACAGCTTTACAAATGAGCTAATATAGATAAAACAGTAGAGCCCACATAGGACAATATTTATAATCTATGGAATCGTTTACTCTGTTACACCTTCTTACAGCATAGAGAGAACAATATATATTGTCAAATTCACACTTATATCAGTATAAAATTATTTTATCTTAAAAAAATCTAACTATAAAAAGGCCATATTGGAGAGGTTTTTTTGTTCAAAATTAATCAAGCAAATGCGACTGTAACACTATGGGGACTTACGCATATAATTCCTTCCGGGCAAGATTTTTTTAAATAATCAAGAACAAATTATTTTTTTTTTAATAGGCAAATAGTACTTCGTCCCTACCTCTGGGAGCAAGGCTACCTCTATTCCTTCTTCACACTGCTATGTGTCGGTATTGCTGCATTCCCTAAATTACAGGGCTAGCACATATAAGTGCATGCAGTACAGGCTACACTCCTGGCAACTCCAAGGTCTTTTTTAAGCCTTTCTTATCAGGTTAGATTTACCTCCCTCAGTTGCTTCCAACAACAGCCATGCCATGTATTAGACCAGCATTACAAAACAGGAATTGAAAAAGCACAGCCAACATACGTATTCCAAAGCATTTTCCACAAAATAAATCAAAAGCTCCCGGTACACAGGGGCATGTTGGTCCCAACTACTCACAAAACCAGCTGGAATTTATTCCCTGTTTTGGAAGACACCTGGAACTGTGTTGCCACAACTTGGATGCTTCAGTGCCCAGGCCCAGGAGCTCACCCCTCCACATGGCAGTAAAGAGCAGGCTGCAAAGCTACAGAGGTGACACAGGGACCTAGAAAGGGTTGACATTGACGTGGCATCACAGTCCTCTCAAAAAGATGGCATTTCCCATCCTCCACAAAGGCATTTCTTCCCTCAAAGCTCTCCCCAGCCTCACTGTCTGATCTGCTTTCTCTGTCAGGAGACCACTTACCACAACCTCCTCCCCTATGCAACCTGGTCCTCAACCAAGAAGCCCAAGCTTCTTCACTTCAGGGGGACGGAACTGCCATGGCCCAAAGCCTAGGCATCTTTTTTGGAGAAACACTACAATTCAAGGAGCATCCAGAACAGCCAAGCAAGATCGTGCCTAAGTAGGCCCTGTTATTCAATTAGCTGAGTTGGCCAAAGGTTTTCCCATTGTAACATGATTTTTCTATTCCAGTATTATTTTTGGTGTAAAAAAATAATAAAAAATCAGTGGGGATGGGTGGGGTTTTTTTTTGCGCAAAACTCGGTGCTTTTAATGAAAAAGAAAGGTTGCTTTTCTCAATAGTTTGCTGTTTATTTCTGTTGGGAAAGCTTGAAACACATCATTTTTGTCAGAAAAATATCAGTCCGTGTTTGTCCGAATTCCTCCAGTGTCAGCTGGGAGCTGTAATTCATGAGCTTCATGTCCCCTTCTTTCCCAGAAGGCTGGGCTCCTGGGCACCCCTCCAGCCTTCATGACGCATTCCCCCTTTTACTAACCCTTGGTAAGAGCATCATGGGATCTGTAACCCAGCCAAAGAGCTGGACCCCAAGGGAAACACAACGCACAAGGCACTTGAATGGTAATTTCTGAGGTCTGCAACAGTAGCTCTAACTGATGCTGCTTTAAGGGCCAAATGGTTTTAATTAAATGTTTCCATTTCAAAAGGCATTTTCCAGCTGACAATTTCTCATTTTTTGAAAAATTTCTGTTCCAGGAAACTTCTTGGTATTTCAGCTTTCCATCTCAATTCAGGATAAAATTTAACGTTCAAGTATCAAAAATTCAATGCTATATGGACACACAGTTTGGGAAACAGCCTTATTAATTAGCTACCAAAAGTAAAATGACTCCATCTATGCAAGAAGGGTGTGATCCAGTTTGCCTCTGACATCAGTGGAAGCCACTTTTTCAGCTTAGTGGAGCTTGGATGGAATCCCAAACGTCCAAGGAAGGGTGGAGTTGACCATAGTTGCAGATATTGGAAATGGGAGTCAAGAGTGAAACAGCAGAAATACAAGCAGCAACTAAGATAATCTGCTACCTGGACTCAGTCAAAACTCAGTTTTACTTACTTTAGTGAGTAGCAGAAGGAAAAAAATCATTAAGATTATAAAACCTATTTCCCAGTTACAGTAAAGATAGCAATTAATCAGCACTTTTTAGAGTAGGATAAATCCATAGCATGAATGTGCCATGAACTCTATAACTTCCAACATTCAAAACATTTCCTCAGAAAACCTTCATATACTCCATTGAGAGAGACTATTCTAAAGCTAAAGATATCATATGGTACTGAACTACTTGCCACAGGTTGGCTGCCATCCCTTGAACCCTGCGGAATTGTTCTGCTGGATGAGTGTAACAGAAACTCTGTCGGGGGGACCAAGGTCTCTGAACTTTGATCACATCCACAGGTGAAGAATAGCTAAGAGCGGGCTCTCAGGGTTGACATTCTGGGTAAGGACTGGACACCAAATCCATCCTCTGCATTGCCCAATCTGGCTTTGGATGTAGCCCCAGACCTTCCACCTCAAAGAGTAAAAGAGAAGCCCCAGGGAGCCTGTGTCAATCAGCAACAGGGTGTGTGTTGAAGGCAAGAGAGCGCTCAGAAGAGAAAATAAATCAATTCACCCAACCACGAGGGGTCTATAAATTGGGTTTTGTTTATCTTTCATTTCCCTTTAGTACAAGGCAGATGTTCCTAAGTAATAAGCAGAAACCTCAACAATTTTTAAGACTGAAGAGGAAGGGAAGGCGGAAGAAAAATGTACAAGTTTTGAGGATGTTTTCAGCTCCAGCTTATTAAAAAAAAATTAAAAAAACCCCCCACCAAACAAAAAAGTAAACCACACACCACCAGAAATGTGTATCTGTAATAGTAGGTTTTTCCTTAGGCTGTTTGGTAATTCTTAGTTCACAGGAGCATTTTATCCAGAAGGTTCTTCATGTTTCCAGTCTAGGTTGTAGAAATCTCAGTGAGGCACTAAATTTTAGGCTGTTAAAGTCTTTCTGTGCAGCACGGTCATTTTAAAATGATGTGGTAGCCATCATTGCTTTCAGCTGTAACAAAGAAATGCAAAGCATTTTTTCATTGCTTTCTGAAAACAGCACAGAGCTCCAGATTTCTTCTTAGGTAGTTTGCAATAGTTTGTAACCTTGTTCTACAACGCACTCATGAAAATCAATATTGAACATCTAGGTCAAAGCATTTACATTAAAAAATACAGCATACTAACAGTCACCTTTTACCATTTTACTTGAGGGCTTTCTGCCCTTTTATGTCAGTGTTATCAATGGATTTATGAAAGTTTTATAAGTGTAACTGAAGAAAACATAGATTCATCAGTATATCATAGTGTAAACTGATGCAACACCTTTCCTTACACTAAATTAGACTACTTATCTTTTCAAGGTAACAGCACCAAGTTTGTAATAACATTTAGTGCAATCGAAAGGAGAAATTATCTTTAGAGCCACGTGTAAAAGCAACAGCAATACATACCTTTTAATGTGCTGATAACAAAACAAGATTCATCTTGGAAGTTTTGCACCATCTGAAGGGCAGAAGCAAAAAAAGCCAACATAAGAGCAATTACATTCAAGTTTCCTTCAGTGCCAGTATAGACTTCAGAGGAGAGGTATCAAACAACATTTGGTGTCCAGTCCTAGAGAGTCCTGAGTAACCCTGCCCATAAGATTACTAAAGTACATGACTGATTAAGATCCTTGCAGCTGCTAATGTGTTTAAGAGAAGCACATATTAAAGTGCTTGCCTGGAACTGATCTAGCTTGTTCAGCATTTTACCACCCTCTTTGCAGCTCTTGATCCTTTAAGTTCTTATACCACTTGGTTAGTCTATTTAGGACCATGCTCTTAATTGCCTTCAGTGAAGCTATACTAGTTTAGGCTGGATGAAGACAGTCCATCTCCTAAAATACACATATAGCTGAACAATGAAGCTCAGCTGAGCTTACATTAGCATCTGAAATACTACTCAGAGGTGGTCAACACTGAGAAATGGACTCCTTGTTGAATAAAGGCAAATTGCTACTGAAAAGCCATCTCAGCAGCATCCACCTGGATATTTTTACTAGATATTAGTCAAAATGTGCTTGCAGGAATCATTTACCTGTTTGTATTTTGTTGAGGCACAGGAATCTTAATGAAACTGCTAGGAGAGTCAAGGCAGATCATGGGAAGCAAGATAAGTATCTAAAGTGATTTGAGTTAGTCATGATAAAATTAGATTTTCAGAACACGTGCAGGTTCTAGTGAGGCCCCTAACTAAAAAGGTAAGTTAAAAGATTCAGCTAACTTCAGATCCAAACTGAAATGCTCATTGAAGCTTCATCTTTAGTCAATGCACTCTCTCACCTTAGAGTAGTTGTGTGGAACAGAGGACATAAATTACCTTCAGGGGTGTCTCAGACAGTTGAAGCAGATGTTGGACACCTAACTTTGGAGGGGAGGTGACCAGAACCTCTCTGATAAGCTCAGAAAATCCAGCTTTAAGCAAAAGCCCTTTTCTAACTATTGAATACCATTCAAGTAAAGCACTTTCCAGTGTAAGTTCTCACACCAAATATCCTTTTCAACTTAGACTAACCTCTCTATTCTCTTTGGGTTTAACATTCACCCCCTGCTCTTGCAAATCGAACTTCACTGGCCAGTCTGTGCCTAATGATGCATGAAGTACATTCATAGAGTGCCTCATTTTTTGCACTATAGTACTAGAACAAGAAAAAAATATTAAAAAAGCAATATACATTGTTAATAATTGACTTAAATACTTAAAGCCTTATACCCAGACTGGTTCAGGCAATTCCCCTACCAAGAGTTGCCTCCAAGCACTTTACATCCATAAAGCATCAGGGTTTCAGATTTAATCAGGCTGAAACAGCAAGGAGACTTTAGGAATAAGCATTACAGCCTTCGATTTAGGCTCCAGTTGAGACCTGCGCTCTGCTTCATTTGTTTTAACAATGTTTCTTATACATGAAGCTTCTTAAGTGATTCTGGTGCATGAATGAGTAAGTAATTTAGTAGGGAGGAAAAAGGAAGAAGGGCAACTCACTATTAACCTGCAAGTTAATGGATTGGACTAAATTAAGCCATCATGTAATGGGACACAAACAGCTAGCAGAGGTCCATTAAACTATAGTGTGCACTTACATAGCACTGACTCTGACCCAGTGGCTGTAATCACTGGCCAAGACGGAAGACTAACTGCCCTACAGATTTTCAAACCTGCCTTTTTGAGGGAAGAAGAAAATTAAATTGAAATTAAATATCCTATTTAATTTTAAAGGTTCTTATTTTAGATTCTTGCTCCAAATTTGTTTCAGTAGTCAACATGAAGAAGAAATGAATTATTTTGTTCTGTTTTGCTAAAAAAAAACCAAAACAACAAGCAAAAAAAACCCAACCACAACAAAAAATGCAAACACTCTTTTACAAAGCAATGATCTTAAAAACACACCAAAATCAATGATATGCATGAATGATTTAAGTATTTGCCTTAACTTGTCAGGATTAGTAACTGCTAAGCTTCCTTGAAGATTCATTCCCTAATTTAAAAGGCCATTCTAACTTCAAGAAGTCAGACAACTGTTACAGTTCTGACAGTTTACATTAACTCCTTACCTCATTGCTCACTAATACATGGATCCCTGTGGGTCCCTGCCGATAGATTCGATTTATCTGCTGTGGAGAAATGCTGTACAAGTTTGCAATCTTCTCTATTAATTCCAGCGTGGTCAGTTCTTCCAAGAAGATTGCATGATATACTGCAACAAGTTGAAAGTAATTACAGAGTTATAATTATAGAATAGCAACTACAGATAACACCAAGATGCTCCATATCAACAACCAAATGGGTTTAAGACCAAGGTTCAAATCCTGACAGTGGATACATAAGTTTATTACCTTTAAAGCAGCCCCCAAATATCAAGCTTGATGATTTGTAAAAAAATACCCAGTATTTGGATGCCATGGAAAAATAAAGCACGTTACTTTTGCCCAGAGGAAAACACAGGCACTAATGACAACATGTATCATGGGGCACCAAATAAACCCTCTCACAAAAATGTTAATTTTTTTTATAACCTACTTTTATTTGTTTTGACATTTTAAAGTAGATCCAATTAAATAGTAAAACAAATGATATTATGTTATAAAAAAGTAGTATTTCATTAGATGCTATCCTACTGATCCCATAGGCACAAACTAAAGACTACAATGTATCACATAACTGTAGATGACAGCATTAAGTTTTAAATCCAACGCAAATGGTAGAAACAACGAAGTAGAAAAGCTGTGCCTAGTTTATACTATGTGCAAGAACTAAGGACAATCTCTGTTCTCATTTGATCATACACCGCATCATGAGGGACAGTTAAGGTCAGTGAGTCTCCAAAAGCTTTGAACTTTCAAGAATTAGAGCCTCACTTTAAGACCTTCCATTTCCCAGAATATTTTCAAACAAGCCATAATCTTAAGCAAATTGTGGATGGGGGGTTAGTTTTTAATGCTATGGTCCCTATTAAGAACTCAACAGAGATTTTGCTAGAGCATTCTGCAGATAGCTTATAAATTTGGTCTGTTCCTGTAACAAGATGGTACCAGTTGGAATCTGTAGCCCTGAAACTAACTGGAGTGGCAGAGCTGAGATAAACAGGACCTCTTTAAACAGCAAGCTGTCCCACACAGAAGCTCAGGTAGAAAGCAACATTCTCACCAGGTTAAGTGTTTTAACAAAGTCTATACATAAAAACTTACCACAAAGACTGCTATCTCCATTTTCTCGTTTTTGGTGGAGATGGGACCTGTTTTGCTCTGGTTCTTGACAGACATAAATTGTCATTTTTGGCCTTACATTTCTATGGGTTATTAAAAAAACAGCAGTAAGTTATTTAGTAGATCTAAAATTGTTCCAGTCAGCTATTAAGCAATGAGAGATGGAATCATTCAATCTGTGCATAAATAACCAGCTAAGAGGTAGTCTGAATGCTGGGGACTACATGTCTTAGGGGGTCTAGCCAGAGCCCACTGGGAGGTGGTGGGACAGAGCAGAGCACCTAAATCTCATCAGGATCAAGTAAGAATAAAAAGTTTACAGCACTTGCCAAGCAGCTCATCATACCTGCCTTTACTGATTTGAATCCTGCCCAGCTGTAAAATTTAAGATGTTATTGCAATAAAAGTAAGTTTAGGAGTCATTTGAGACTCCAGAGGTTGGTTTGTTCATTGATTGTTACCTGTGATGGAGATGCAACACAGCGTATTGTAGGCTGTGTTTCATATAAAGTGGAGGGAAGCTATGAGGTGGTAGCATATCAGATCCAGCACTGGAGATCCACATTATGCTGCTTCATTTCAGCAACATGTCTGAGCTGTGCTTGGGTTTGAATACCATTGTGATCTCCATCCTCTCAGATGACCTCTCTGAAGTATTAAAAGGAAGTCTAAATGCTACAGCTCCAGGATTAACTTCTAGTTAAGACTGAAATTACCAGAGGATGCTGCCATAACAAAAAAAAAAAAAAAGGAAGGAAGAAGTACAAACCTTCCTTTGATTGCATTAAAGAGCCGAATTCCATCAGCAGGCCCACAGATTTGAACAAAATCTTCTTTGGACATCTTCAGTAAGTCAGCACCTACATATTTCAAATTGATTTTTTTTCAGAAGTTAAGCAAATCTTAGCTTCCAAATTGTGTGTATGGGCAGCAGGAAAAGGCCAGGAGGAGAGAATTCACAAAGCTAAATCAGAGAGATCTCCTTAGAGAGTAGCAGATTCAGAGAGGTGTACAATGCAAATCAATCATTGTGCAGAGTGATAGAAGCTGCTAGAAGAGCAGCCCTGCACTGAAAGATACTCTAGCCAAGTCAGAGACAAGCTAGATGTTTAACACTGGCCATTAAATGCCCAGTTTTCTCTGCCTGCCATATTCACAAGGTTATTTAATCATAGAAGTGTAGAATAGTTAGGGTTGGAAAGGACCTTAAGATCATTTAGTTCCAACCCCCCTGCTGCAAGTCAGAGAGAGGCTCCTCAAGGTTTCAACATCTTTAAAAATTCCCCCTTCCACCATTTTACTGCTGTGTATAACTATCTAATGGGAGGGTACAGTGAAGATGGAGCCAGACGCTTCTGAAAGGTGCACAGGGACAGAATGAGAGGCAGCAGACAGAACATGGGAAACACTTCTTCACTGTGACAGTAGTCAAGTATTTGAAGAGGCTGCTTGGAGAGATTGTGAAATTTCCAACCTGGGAGATACCCAAATGCAACTGTACAAGACCCTGGACTTACTTCAAGCAGGCTAACACTTAATGAACTTAAAAAGTCCCTTCCATCTCAAATTATTCTCTTTCATCTTTACTTATTCTATATTTCTACAAACTGTTGTGACAAATGCTAACAAATCTAAGAACAAAAGAACAACCACACTGGATCAGACCAGTGATCCCACGAACAGTGGCCAGCAGCAGATGCTCTTGATGCGAAGCCTGAGCTGCCCTTACAAAAGAGAATAAAGACAAAATGATTGACTGTTTAAACTCACCCGAAAAACTTGAGAAGAGTCTACAGAATGGAGAGAACCTATTACGATGAAGCCACTGCTGGGCATCTTGAATAGAAGCAGAAGGAAGGAGATGCTACATTGCAAAAAGAATAAGAAGGTCTTGAAATGAACTGTTCACCAGTGTCCTAAAAAAGAAAAGCACCACATTAACATGATCTCAAGTACTTACATCATTGCTGGGAGGCAGGAGCTCCACTTGGTGGGTTGGAGAACTGTTGCTAAAAAAAATTATGCAAAGTTGGAAGAGAAAAAAAACACATTATTTTAAATTTCACATAGCAGTGTCCATCCTTTTCCCCCTCTTCCATTTGACTCAACCGTCACAAGTTACACAGCAACTTGGCTTTTTCCTCTATCAGATTTTTAAAAATGTGTCCAAAGTCTGGACAAAAAGAAAAAATAATGAAAAAAAACCCAAACCCCAGCTCATGCCTTTCGTTGGTCAGCTGGGGTCCTACCCAGTTTACTGACCTCATTCAAACTTTTCCATACTGATGGCTTACTAATGTGACACCACCTAAGCATGAAAGTTGTGACCTACAGAGTGGCTGAACTCAAAATTTCTACAAGCCAGAAATCCCTTAGCTAAATCCACTGTCTAATAGTGATTCATCACAAAAAATTAATAAAGGACCTTATAACTCAACCCTGGTGTTATCTTAAACATAGGAAATTGCAATTTAACTATATTACATAAAACCATGTTTCTATTAAACCCTCCTAAGACATAGACAGAACTTCAACTGATCAAATCCCAAAGAATTAATCATCTAGCAGTGGAAGAAAATGCTTAACAGATCCTTCTACTAACACCAATATTTCTCATTTCAGTGTTTGTCTTTATGCATAGGTTGATGTTGCTCACTGAAAATTCATGATACAACACTGATTAATAAATAAACTGTGCAGGAAGGCAACAAGGCTGCAAAGTCCTAGAGGAGGAAAAGAAAGGCCCATGCCAAATTCCTAGGGACAAGTATGTCACAGGGAGGACTCAGAAGTACCAAGGGACCCTGCCGTTTATTTCTGTCATCAGCTATCATGTTGGGTACTTCAGGACCACTAAAACTGTTTCTTTATGATTGCTACATTAATGAATTAAATATGCCTCCTTTTAGTAATATGTTCTAGAATGCCTTCTCAAAACTCAGGCTGTTTTGCCACAGACAGGGTTCCTTTATTCCCATTCAACTGGGAATCCAGCACTCCAAACTACCTCAAGACAGAAAGGAAGGCTGAAACACTTTAACACTATTGTCAGAAAACAGTGGGAAATGCTGGTACAGGGCATTGTGTGTTCTCTGAAGAACAGAAGAATAAGAAAGGAAATTTATAGCAGGAATTGTCCTGGTGACCCTCTGAAGCTCACCTCCCAGCCACCACATAAGCAGTGGACATAGAAACAGTACTGTGCATTACAGGGAATTCCTGGATGGAAGGTCTTAAAATGCTTAGTGGTAAATATTTTCCCCTTCCTAAGAAGAGTGGCCCTTGACCTATTCTTCCAGGGTATGAAATGCATGGGCACACAAACAACATCCATGCAACACTACGATATCAACAAGAAATATAAAAGCATTTATTTGTTACATACCCATCTCCAAGGTTGAAGCTGTTGGGAGAACTGTTGTAACTTGGAGATGGAGCATTGTTCATTTGATAAGGCACATCTGGCCAGGGAGAGCACTGTTGGAAGAAAAGTAGTGGGGATACTTTCGTAAGGATGGAAATAAAGGATTCGATTCTCCTCTAACACCACATTCATGCTGTTGCCACGCCACTAACTTCAGCTCATCGCTCCTGCTGAGAGAAGGAGACAGGCCATGGATTTTCTACACTGCTCTCCAAGAGGGCTGTCAGGGGCCAGATTGATTCCAGTTGTGCATTCCACATTTCCCTCATTTCACAAAGCCTGTCCCCAAATAACACTGGGCCAAAATGTGCACAGCTGTAAGTCAGGGCAACGCCAGTAAGTCAGTGCAGACGGAAGGCAGCAATGATACAGAAATACCCCTGGTCTCAATTATACATCCCTAATTAAATCCAGGGAAGAGTGACAAATATGCTCCAGAGGCAGTGCTTCAGGTTAGTACCAGTGAAAGAGCAGAATTCAAACCAGTCTGCTAAAACCTCTGGCTATTAGCTGAACAGCTCAAGTTAAAAATGGGTATTATATGGAGAAAATTTGAGAGAGACAGACATAAAACTGCTAAAAGCCTTCACAAATATAGGTCAAACTCCATATTCCATTACAGTACTGTAAAACCAGAGCAACCCAGCTAGAATTGGTGACTCTGTTCTGAATTTAAGCCACTGTAATCAGCAGGAGAAATTTAGCCCTGTGGAACACCCCACCATCAAGAGCTCAAGAAAATGCTCTGTAGTATCCTTGTTTGCAATGATAAAAAGACAACAAATGTAGCTTTGGAGTTTTATCATCTAGCAAATATTTTATCATCTCATGAGCACTAGCAAATATTTAACTCTTTAGCAACCCACATTTCCTCATGCAATATGTCAAAGTGCATCAGAGCTCACAGGGAGAGTTTGGGATCTGCCAACTCAGTAGAATTAGGTCTGTGTACACAAGAGCCTTGCTAACAACCACCATGTTGAATTAGAAAACATGCTGGCTGCTCCTTGCAATGTGAGGAAAACTGAGCGGGAAGAACCAGAGCTCACAAACAGGAAGTTTATTTAAATTAAGAAAACCTCTGTTTTTTAGAAGTTCAGCAAGCCACTTCAAAAAACAGAAGAACTAAATCAAACAACAACACATCCGCACAGGTTGAAGGAACAGCACTTTCAAACCACTCTCTTGAGTCCTGTTGCTTAGTAATTCTGCAGCCTGGGGTAAGCTTATATATACATCTTTGAATCTTAGTAATGGCAGGCAGGAGTAAAAACACACACATCTCCACCCCAAATCCATCAGAATATAAGACATCCAAGATATGCCTAGAGTACAAGCCAGAATCTTCTGAGATCTTGTACGTAACAGTAGCTTCACAGGCACATTCACAGAAAAACAAACTAATAATTTAATCAGACACCCTATTCATCTATTCAAGTGCCCCATCTCCACCACAAGCTTTTGCCAGACAGCCTGAAGAAAATGCCTCATACAACTGGCATTTAAGCACCATGACAAGTGCCTGGGAGCACAGCACAAGATAAATATTCCTTTTAAAGCTGGGCTGGTAAGGGCTGGTTTGCACCCTAAAACATAAGAAACTTTGGCATCTTTTATAAACTTCAACAGTGAGAGACATTTTGTAACCTCACTCTGCTCTCAATTTCAATCAGGTCTAGGCATACATGTCTCCACAAGACAATCTCCAGGGCTCAGTTAGACTGTATTTCCTCTCAAATCTATCTCCCAACATGCAGAAATAGTATGATGTCTAAAATGCTTTACCTCTGTGAGAATAGTTGTCTCATAGGAAGGCTGATACTTCTCTTTCTCTTGGGTGGTCTTCTTCTCCATTTTTTCCCTGTCAGTCTTCTGTTTTCTGTCTGCTCCTTTAGGCTATAAGCACAAGCACAAGCTTTCCCTTATGCCAAGTATTACAAGTTTGGAGACAGAGACCAACAGATTTCTTCTCTAATACATTCACAAAAGTGTCCTTAAGATTTGTGGGGACTCTAAATACAGACTAAGATCAGATCTGCATTTCCTAGACAAAAAAATATAACGAAGCATCTCCACTGTTTCTGTAACACCCCCCATTAATGTCTATTGGGCCAAATAAGCTGACCACAGTCCTGAGATTTGGTATTACTCATTTCAGACCATGAGCTCCACGAGTTATGCACCTCAACTGGTATTTGTACCATCTCTCCAGGAACATGTAAGACACTGCTCACAGGAGCAAAACTGGAGCAGAAGATCCTTTGAGAAAACAGGCCTAAGAAAAGTTTTTTGTTAAGTGTCTACACATGTGCCATGCCCAGATTAGGATCTTCAGAGATGCTTTCTCCCTGAATCTTTCTCTCCCCTAGTCAGCATGGAGAGGAACTCTGCTGTAACAAAAAAAAAGGGTATTTAAGGTCTCCAAAATCTCACTGTTCATGGAGGATTGAACAAAGAAATCTGGAGATGCCATAATGTCATCACTGCCTCAAAACACCAAAACACAGAGGATACCCTAAGCATCTCGGTATTTGTATAGTGTTCAAGGCATAACGGACTAGCATAAGTCTGGGTGCAGCACTTGGGTCATCTGAATTTAACTAGAATGGCTGTGTAGTTCTGTGTTTATATCACTTTGTGCGCAAGAGCCCTCTTTAAGATCTGAAGCATGCCCAGATAAAAGTCTGTTCTTTTACTCCACTATTTGCATCAATCCTACACAATTTAAAAACTATGCATGCTCCTGTGTCTTAACCTAGTTGACGACAAAGACCTCATACCTTGAACACTTTGATCTGGCAGCTTGCAGAATGCAAGTGTTCTGTGTATTCACCATTTTCATTTTGTTTAAATGTGTCGATTTGCACCCGGAAGGGCACACCTTTCTCTCCTCCATGTTTCCGTGGAGTAAATTCTGTGCTGATGCAATGTACCTGGCAAAACAAAAGCTGTGCTCATCTCTGGGGACAGTCAGAACCTGTGCAAACCTGAATTTCAGATTCTGCCTGAACATAAGGTATTGGCTCCTTCTGAGAAGCTAAGAGAGGCTGAAGAGTTCTGATGTTTTCATTTCTGCTCCTCAGGACAAAACAATTAGAAGAACAAGCAGCTCAGAAAGAAACAGAGCATCAGGAAAAGCATCCTTTAACTTAAGAGAATCCCACACACAGATTAAAATCAGACAGTTGGCATTTGGGATGAGAAACACTCACAAAGGAAGAAAGCAAGCAAAACTAACAGGTTATGGACAATTTCCTCTAGACAAAGTTCATGTATATAAAGCAACATCATTCGTTAAAAAAGAAAAAAAATCCTAAAATCCTAGCTGTAGTAAGTAGTACTCCAAAGCTAGCAAGTTGCTACCAAGTTGGTTTAGCACGCAGCCTACAAATTAATTATACACAACTGTTTGTATATTATCATTAGCATCTTTCTTCTTCGTTTCCTGGTTACCTTAACTCTCCAGGTCTTTGTAAGGTATCTCACCACTGTATTTACCACAGAAATATCAGTTCTCTCTTACCTGGATGAATGCTGAAGCTCTCTTTGATGGATCCCACAGAAATTCAACAGTATTCAACTGGGTTGGACTGGCCCTCGGATCCAAGATACCAACTGACAGTGGAATATCTGTAGAATAAAACCCCTAAAATTTTAAAAATATTAAATTGAAGAAGAGAAAGCATTTCCACACAACTAAAAGATGCATGTGAAAAGGCAAGCCACCAATGATACACCTATCTGGGACCTATAATGCTAGATCTCCTTCCCACCCAAAGGCATACAGGATTCCTACGAGAATAGGATATAAAAACCTAAACACACATACAAATACTGCATATGTCATTCAGCCTCTCGCTTCCAAATGCTGCACAGGAACCATAATTAAATAGTCTCACCTATATCAAGGATGCGGTCCCCAGGCCGACTCCACCTCCAGCCCTCAAGCTGCTGATGCTCTGTGTACTGCAGGCGTCGATCATGGAAAACTACACGAATTATGCTCTGTTGAGAAAAGACAGCAAGCTGAACAATGTGATCCAGAGGCCCTTCTCTTGAGATGACTGGTTTTCCAGAGTAGAAAGCAAAAGCTGATCTGTTATGTTTCTCATCCTTAGTCATGAGGAGAGTAGAGGGTCCACCTAAGAGACCCATCACCATGTTTTTCAGATTCCTAAGGGACCCCTGAGTGAGACAGCAACACCCTTTCCCCTTCACAGGGCATGTCTACACTGCATAGCGCAGCCCTGTACAGCTTTCTGGGATTTGGTCTGGAAGTGTAATAGCAATGTCCACCTAATCTTAGGTGCCATGCCACATAGACATCACTATACTGCCTCTAAACCCAAAATAGCTCACAAGGGGATAATATTTAATGCGTCTATACCATTCCCCAACCCCAGTATATCCCACTCTGATTAGCACATGTGAAAGCCAGCTCACCTGTCCCTGCACCAGTGGAGCTGACATGCCCAGACACCTTGTCAGTGGGAATTAAACTTCATTCCAGCCATTAACAGCCAGTCATTGGATTTGCCCCAGTTAAAGTGTAGAATAGGAAAACTTCTGTAACAGGAGAATTTTCATCTCTGGTCTGCAATGGTGCAGCCATGTCAATAACTGGAGCAAAAAGGCTGGAATAAGGGCAATCCCGAGGGCAGACAAGTCCAAAGTACTCCTAACTAATATATCCTTTTGTATATTCAGAGTGCTACACTTGCATGAGTTAATGACCCGTTATGTTCCACTTTCTCAAGTCCATGCTCCTCCTAGGGGCTTCTGTATAAAATGAATAAGGAATTTTTGCCAATGAACCTGAGAAATGCCCAAATCAAACCCTCGCTCCAAGAAGCAAGCAAGCCACGGTGGGAACACCTGCAAAACTGGAATCCCGATCCACATGCTTCCTGACCTAGGCCAAAGACAAACAGGAAACTACCTAAACTTGGACAACATTTGAAATCCAGATTGGAATCCAAATTTTGCAACTAGTCCCAAAAGAAATCCTGAGGCAGAACAGCCAAGAATTGGGGAGAGGAAGGCTTGAACGTTGATCCAGAACCAAGATCCAGACCAAAGCTTTTGAATTTGAACTGTTTTGGGAGGGGGGAAAACAACAACAAAAAAAATCCCCCAAACCAAATGATCAAGTTCTGTATGTTCATAATTATGCCCATAAACAAAATAAACTGAAGCTATGCAAAATCTGCATCTCAGAACCATGTAAACATCAGGGTCCTCCGTTTGACTTGTAACAGCCCAGGCATGTTTCTGAGGTTACCAAGGGAGACAAGTCTGCCTCTCAGCAGTTTTGACCATGTTCGCCTCTGAACTTTGGGATTCCCCCAAACCCAGTATTCACAGTGAAACTCTGAGGCCCTGGTCACAAACAGAATAAAGGTTCCCCTGAAGCCCTGTAAAGCCAAGCTGCATAATCCCGTGAAACTAGCACTCAACAACTCTATCAGCCCTGCTCCCATTAAAAACAATGGCAAAGTATTTTCCATTGTCTCAGTGTGAGCAAGGTCAGGCTCTTCATTACAGGTTGTATGTAATAGCAGGAAGAAAAGAAATCTATATTTCTCCTTACCTTTACATATTTTGTGTTTAAATCTTGAAACTCTCCCAATTTCCTATTCTCAAGTAGACGGATTTCATAAGACTGACCTAGAGTTTAAGGAAACATTTCCAAGGTGTTTAATACGTTGTAGCAATGAGAGAGTCATGCTGGCATTTATGTGGCTGATAAAACATACGTTTGATCAGGGAAAGCTTATATTTGGTAACATAATGCATTTGACCCAGTAATCAAGTAGGCACTAAAGCACAGCAGCAATCTGAGGGAAAGGTTTGTCTTTTGGCATCTAAAAGCTCTCAGTTAGGGCATTGATCTTAGTCTGTCTCCCAGGGCTGCTACAGTTTCCTGGTCATCCTTCAGAAAGTCATCAAGGTGTTTGAGACAGTTGTCCCCCTGTGTCACAACACTGTAACAGCACTGCCTTTGTTCGTCCTTTCTGCTGAAGCAATGGTTGTGTGAAGAGCTAGCTGGTGGCACAACAGGTCTAGGCACTATTCTGCAGAGGATAACAACTTGGGCAAAGTCTTGCCTTCTTTGGAGAACAGTCAGGCCTGTAGGGTGTTCCAGTGAACCAGAAACACAAGATTTGTCCCATAAGACCTAGACCATGGCTGCCCAGAGCACAAATACCTTTTCAGACACACGTGTGGAAGCAGCAAGGGGTATTACAGCATGTGCAGGGACCAATTCCGGGAAGGGAATTCATATTCCAGCACCCACCACCACTCTCAGCATAGGAAAATTTAGACTGTTCAGTAGAATTCATCTACTAATTTATGAAATAACATCTCCCTCCAAGGCTGACAGCAGGCAAACGAGACTGATGTCTCGATACCTCATGCACAAATGGCTACGACAGTACAAAACCTCATTGTACAGGACCAACTCTTTACAACAAACTTACAGCCAGCACAGAGGCAGGACAGGATTATTAGGATTAATGGAGTATATGTATACCTTATAGCTAGTTTTTCTTGTTCACCTTGCTATCTTCCCATTTACTGAAAAATACACAAGGTAGGATAAGGCAGGCCCTAAGAAGGAAATCAGTTCGGGTTTTCTAGCTCAACCAGTATCTCCGCAGAACTGGCCCTGCAGAAAACTGCAAAGCAGCTGTATCTCCCTCTAAGCAGTTGCTACCAGCAGAGACAAAAAAATGCCACATTACTGGGTTGAGATCTAGAAATAGAAGATTTATGACAGCAGATATGTCAGAAGGGCACCACGTTTCAGGCAGATTCCCTTCTGGGAATCCCAGCTCTTCCGTTTGCCTGCATGAGTATGGACCATATCACTGGATCCCAGGAATAATTGTGCTTATTCAGCTGGCGGGGGGGGGGGGGGGGGGGGCAAATAAAGAGAGGAGAGGCCATACTGAAGCCCCAAATGTTTGCACAACACTCCTACTGATGTCAATAGGAGTTCTGCAAACAGGAAATGACCCATGAATCCAACAAGTGGCTTAGGGGACAGGGAGAGGGGAGAACAAACCATATGAAGTGACAAATTAAGCACGGGAAACATGCATAGATTTTAACCCACCTCTTTGAGCATAAGTAAACCAAGATGACAACAGTGACCTTCCTTTGAAGATTACTGGACAGCAAAAGTGCATTTTGTAATTGACAGTCCCAAAATTGAGGTCTTACGTGCTTTAATTCAAGAGACTTTCTAATGTTCCCTCTGATACACACTAATATTTTTCTCTTGGCAATTTTTAAAGAGATTTACATATCTGCTCACATAATCAACACTGTCGCATTAGCATAAAAAAGATCAAGCTCCAATTCACAAAAATGGTTTTCTCTCATAGAATCATAAAATTGTTTAGCTTGGAAAAGACCCTTAAGATCACCAAATCCCACCGTTAACCTAGCACTGCCAAATCCACCACTAAACCATGTCCCCGAGTGGCACGTCTGTTGTACTATGTACCTGTGCATACCTTGTACCTGTGTACCTATATTGTATGAAGTACTTGGCTACTCAATGGCTCAGTGGGAATAGATTTCACCAGCTATAAAGCAATACAGTTCATTACCTCAAACAAAGGTACACAGACAAGCACCTCTTGCACTTCCAGTTCATTCTCACACAAATACAAAGCTAATTAATCATTACAGAAAGTTAGTTTAGGATTTGAGACAATGAGCATCCAAGAGACTGTAAAACACATGTATGACTACTCACATGGTGTAACACAGAGAAATTAAATGGCATGAGATGTGCTATAAAGGAAGGCAACGGTAGAAGCAGAAGCACTGCCAGCCATTCAACAAGCATCTCAGAAATAAGCAGGGTTTTGGAACACCTTTTTTGCATTGATACACTCCTACTCTTTGGTCAGCCTTATTTGTAGTTCCAACGAGACAAAAGAAAATAATGAATATAAAAACATTGGCCATATTCCTTTCAAACTAGCATCAAGCACTCAAAAATTCTGCAGCATGCATCTTCCAACCACTTGAATGGGACAGGAATAATAATAAAGCAGCCTGGCAAACAGCAGGCATTGCACATCCGATGGGAGTGAGTTAGCTTGGACAGAGTTAGAAACAGATTCTGCCAACTGGTAAAAATAAAAAAAACAACCTGTAGTGGAGACAGAGTTAATATTAAATGGAAAGCCAAAGAGGAAATAAAATGCTTTGATGAAAGATATATGGGTCATCTGATGTAAGCCCTGGAACTCGGTTTAGGCCATGAAAAAACTCATGATATTTTATGCTAACTGCTTTCCCCTTCACCTCTGAATGTTTAACTCTAGTTACTACATAGAATTGTTATCAAAACAAGCCAAGCTTCAGAAAACATGCAGCTTATTTCTCTCTCTGTGGAACTCCGCCAGTGAGAATTTGGTCCCAATTCCTCACAATTCTTTTATATATAAACGTTTTGGTATTGATTTTGAAAAATTCATTCTCCCTAAAAATTATTTCAGAAAATCCACTTCTTTGTGGCTAATGGTACCCATAATTCATTCGCATAGCATGGACAATGTTCAGGTACTTGCACCTTTGTAGCACCAAACTGCTTGGATTGGGGATATTTTTCCTTGAAGAATACCTTCCAAACCTTCTTTACTCTACATTTTCCACCACCACTACCAGCAAAAGTCCTGAAATAGTGAATTACACTCTCAGCCCTGCAACTACAACAACTGCAGGGAAAGAAAGCTCTAAAGAATAATTAGTACTCGGATCTGTAAAATAAACTGTGTAATAGCGACCTAACTTGAAGAAAGCTGAACTCCCCCTGGCGTCAGAGGGCAAAGAAGACACTCAAGCTCTGGTACGCAGATCAATCCTGCATCACTGACTCACCAATACTAGCAGGCACGGCCAGACCATATTCTGCTAAATCTAAACCAATAGCAGAGTATTCTTAATCAGGTATCTGAAGCTGTAAATAAATGTGGCTGCAACGTGACTAAATCAAACCATACACCCAGTTCCCAAGACAGACTGCAAACAGCTAAGCCCCAAAACATACAACTGAAATATAAGGAGTTCTCCTATGTAGAGTTTTTCCACCTGTCTCAGATAGAAATACAGATTAATATAGATTAGACTACATCTTTCCAAGCCAATCCTTTGTGGTAAAGCTGAAGACATGGCAGAGTAATCTCAGAGATGCTGAGACTGCAATGATTTGATTGAACGGTCTTTGACAAAGTCAGTATCCGGTTCTCAGCTGAGAAGGGTTTAACATCCACTGGGCTCAGACGGAAGGAAGAACCTGACGAAAACACCTATGGCAATGGAGAGCAGCAGCTGCAGTTTTGGAGGGTCTCCCTTTACCAGGAGGACGTTCCACATAGCTGCATGCTAGTTTTACACCCGGTGCTAACAACCAGCAATTTGCAGAAATCCTCTTCCTTCCATGCTCTCAACACTGGCTATAGCTGCATCACCACAGGCAATACAGTTGGTGACCAGCCTGGTCTCTGGTCACGTTGTAATATTGGGCACATGCACACAGAGGTACCTAAAGCATGTCTATCACTAGCTAAAGTAAGAGGATATTCTGCAAGCTAAACCCCAGGATAGGCGAGGCCAAAGCAGTCGCCTGCCTGCCTGCCTGACCTGGTGCTCCCTTCGCACGGAGCTTGCTAAAACTCCTTTTCCCTACCTCAGACAGAGAACAAAATGATAATAAATACTTAGAAAACCACAGTAAATTCCTGAGATGCAGTTTGTCTCCCAGCTTCACTGAAAGCTTCAGGGGCACCAATAAAAACCTGGGTGGGTGATGATACACTGTAATTTGTGTTTTGAACAGACATTCCCTGAGCAACAGCAAATTTATGCAATCTCCTCCTAGGCTACAGTTTGAGCAACTCTGCTTTACGAACAAGAGTAGTGTCCAACAAAGTAGTAACCACCCAGGTTCAGAGAGTTCCTGCTTGGTGATTCATAAAGCAATCGCATCTATCTTAAAGAGGATTTATAGACTGCTTGCTTTTTCAGCTTTTATCATCTTTGGTAACTAACACACATTAAATGCAGGCTGGGACAAAAGAACTGAAAGTCAACAATTTGCTATAGATGAAAAATAATTTGGTTTAACACAGGAACACTTTCACCCACTCAAAAGGTACAAGCCATAATAGCTTAACTGATTTCCATTCCTGGGATTTAGTCAGCCATCAGGAATTTTAGGCCATTTCTGATTATAAAAGATTATCATTATTTCAAGCTCAAAGTTGCGTTTTGTTCAAAGATTATTTGCTCGACAGCCACAATATCTTGCTTGCTTTCTTTATTGTTTTGGCATTATGTTTCAAAGGCCACTTGCACTACGTATTTTGTGGTTTTCTGCATGATACAACGATACAATACGCTAATTTCCAACTAAGATGCTGATGTCCCAGACCAGTATGAATCAGGCCTTACTTAATCTAGCCAAGTAGTCTGCTTCCCTTTTCAGCAATTAATTAAACCCTAACCTTAGACTAAGCAATATCCCCAACAAAAGTCTGTGGAAAGATTAAAAAAAAATGACTGGGAGTTCTCTTTCTCAGAATGGATCCACACAGCACTAGACAGAACCAGCCTGGAAACTGTTTGATTATTAAGCCAAGCTGGCC